GTGTTACTCTTCTTAGAGGAAAATGTCATAAACAATCTTTCATAAACACCATCTTAACAAAATTATGATACCTGCTTTTAAAATAAGATGAAATGAGAGAGAGAGACAGTGATAGATGATAGGTAGGTAGGTAGGTAGATAGATCATAGAAAGGAGAGAGAGAGAGAGAGAGAGAGAGAGAGAGAATAATTTCTATCACAGGTCTGTTATCCACATGCAGAAGAATGAAAATAAATCTCTATGGCACTGTATACATTAAAATCAACTTGGAATGGATAAAAGTCTTAAATTTAAGACCTGATGTTGCAAAATTCTAGAAGAAAAGATGAAAAAAATCCCCATGACACTGGCCTAGGTAATGACACTTTTACAAATGATGCCAAAAGCAGAGGCAGCAAAAGCAAAATTCTACAAATTGTATTACATTAAATTAAAAAGCCCTTTATACCATAGGAAACAATCAAAAGAGTAAAGAGAAAACATAAAGGATGGGAGAAAATGGAGCTACAGAGAGAGAGAGGTAGGGAGGGAGAGAGAGAGAGATCTTTCATCTGTTGGTTCACTCCCCAGATGGCCTCAATAGGCAGTGCTGGAGCAGACTGCAACTAGAAGCCAGGAGCATTATCTGGGTCTCCCACAAAGGTGGCAAGGGCCCAAACACTTTGGCCATCTTCTAGTGCTTTCCCAGGCCATCAGCAGGGAACTGGATCAGAAGTAGAGCAGCTGGAACAAGAACCAGTGCTCATAAGGGATGGCAGCTACACCACAAGTCCAGCTCCATTTTCTCCCATCCTTTCTGTTGTCTCTAGCTCTTGTCCTGATGGTTGATGTACAATGTAATACTTTATCCATTTTAGTATTTTTTTTTGTTCTAGTACCATTGGTTGAACTCTGTAATTAACACACAATTGTTCTTAGGTGTTTAAATTTTAACTGAAAAGTGATCCCTGTTAGGAATTTGGAAAACATTATGCTGAGTGAAATAAGCCAATCCAAAAGGGACAAATACCACTTGAATCGTCCTTGATAGGTGACAACTAACTGAGCACCAAAAAGGAAACCTG